TGATCGCTAGAAAATTAATTAATCTCATAACATAGAAGGAGTACCACTTAAATGGGTTAAATTAGTTTAACAAGTAAAGTAATATAAGTGATAAATTAAAGCTCAACTTAATCAAGCAAATTTGCCATATTGCAATATAGAGTTATTGAGAACAAGACTAGATGTAGGCATAGTTGCTAAGTAAGGAGGTGCCTTATAAACTAACATAAAATACTTAAAACTAAAAAGCTTAAAACCTTAAAATTTGAGCACTAGCCCATACAATAACTTGTAGGTCGACGAATTTTGCAATAATTCTGTTTTCACCATAAGTACTTTTGATTAGGGAAAATTCCATGGAGAATCCCAAGTGACTGAGCAAGTTTAGAAATTTAATTTCCTGAGAATGAAGGAATATTTTATTTGAGGTAGTGGCCTGGAGTTAGAAGATATGCTGTAGTTATGGTGAAAGTACTGACGTTAATAAAAGAGAGACGGCAGCGGAGTTTGTGAGGTTCTCTGTCTCTATTCGAGTATTATATTGTCGAAGTTCAAGTAACCTAGAAAGGGAAAAAGCTAGCGTTTGAGTTCTTGTATCCTTTCAGCAGTAAAATCAGTGATTAAGAACTGATTGAGAAGGCTTATACCATTTATAGCAGCATAGTGTTTTCAAGCTTTAGTTCTTGGAGCAGGATAATGGAAGGCCATAGGTGGATTTCTGGTCAAGTTTCGGCAGAACTGTTGATCTGTAGAGTAAAGATAAGTAGTGATATAGTGTGGATACTTGGTGCATATTATTTTATAGTTAAGTAGAGCAAGAGCAATATTTCTCTAGGATTAAAGGGAGAGCCAACCTAGGAGAAATCTATGGAAAGAGACGTGAATTTTTATGTTTTCTATAGGCATGAAGGGAATGTAGCCTATTATAAAGCGTACGCATGTATTATGAGCTATTTAAAAGATTGATTATCTTGTTTTATCAAGGTAAGAAAAAACTATTGGAGCATAGAAGAAATGGGGCAAGACGAACATTTCGACAAGGTTTTTCTTAAGCGGCAATGGTGAGAGCTTTCTTATAGAATTTAAGAATGTTCAATGCAAGATATACCTTTTTCATGATATCTTATACATAAAGTTTCTATTGGAGGGATGATGATATAATGACTCCAAGGTCCTTGACAACTTGGGAAAAGAAAATTTCAGTGTTGTTTAGTTTTATTTTTGGTAGAGAATCAAGAGACAGCGAAGAGATGTAGAGTTCGCTACCAATAAGAATAACCTTGGTTTTGGCAAGGTTAAGTTGAAGACCGTTATCCTAGGCGCAACTTGCAACTCAATGGGCATCAAGTTGAGCTTTTTTGAGTCTCTGGAGCAGCTCTGAAGGTCGGTAGTGAAAATAAATTTGGTTATCATCAGCATAAATCAAATATTTGGAAAAGAATAGGACAGCTGGAAGATCATTAATAAAAATAGAGAAAATCAGCGATATTAATCTATCCTGGTAAATAACGGTTTAAAGCCTGTCTATTAGCTAACTATAAAACCACTGCAGAGATTTATATGAGAAGTTGAATGATCTGAGTTTTTTGATAAGCAGGTCATGTAGGATTAAGTTGAAAGCTTTGGAGAAGAGAATAAGTATTGTTATTTGTTTCTTTTCAATTGCAAAATTTCCACTGAAAAATCATTAAGTAAGGCTATCAATGCTGTAAAGTGATGCTTGCGAAAACCCGCCTGCCTGTGATTTAATAATTCATTACTTTAATACCCTCAAGGATTTTAGAGGGCTCCGAGAGCTGGGCTATAGGTCTAGTGTCCGAGGGTGACTTTAGCGCTTTAATCTTCGAAAGGGGGAGAATGAAAGTTCTTTTCCACAAAGTTGGGAAAGTGGATGTATCAATAGATTTATTTATAATTGCTGTAAGTTATGGTGCAAGAGCTTGCGAGCCGAGAGCTACAATTCTCGATGTTAGATCGTCAAGTCCTCGGTCTTTAGAGGTCAATGATTCAATCTCATTTTGGACTTCTCTTAAAGTAACATTTCGTAGATGATAAGGTGGAAAAGAAAAGATATTAGGAGGGGGAGCTTACTAATGTCGTCAAACTTATCTTGCGTTAAAGATGGGAATCGATTTGTAACTTGTACACTGTGGTTATTTAGAGTGTCAGAGGAGAAAAATAAAAGTGAGAAAGATAAGAGTTTGTTATCAATCTAAATATTATGTAACATATACCATTTTGATTTGAGTTATCTTGCTTATTGAAGTTTAGAGCATATATAGTTGTTTTCCGCAGTAGTAAGTTCGTTAGATATTGAATTTCTTAATGTTTTATAATGAAGGAATACCACAGGATTTCTGGTTCTGGTGGCGCGCTTAAATGCGACATTTTTTAAGCGCATACGAGTGCGAATTTGTTCTGTGATCCACGGCTTTCTCTTGAAAGAGATGTTTGTTAAGCGCTTCGGTGCAAGCTCATCGAACAATTCCAGGACGACTGAGGAAAAAATGCGCTGAAGGATATCAACTGTGGGTGAAGAAATATTAAAAAAAGAAATACGAGTAGAGTTGTGTTGTAGAGAGAAAGAGAAAAACGACCTCACCTAAGGAAGGCTACTGGCTAAATTGAAGTTGCGGTGGCTGGCAGATCGACGGCAGGCTGAACTGATGTCTCCGTGCCCTGGGTAACAATCTGTCTTCGCCACTCTATGTCCAGTATCGTCTCTGTTTCTGGACCTAGCTACTCTAACATGGGTGATTCTGGAAATCTGTCACTCTCTACTCTAGCGCGCGCGCTCTCGGTCGTCACGGTCGATACTCTCTCATCGAATGCCCAAACTCGAACTCTCTTTCCGCGCGCGTGCTGGCTCGAGTAACGTCGACGGCTTCGTTCTCGCGAGAGGATTGCCGTGGTCGCTCGCGCTCGTTCCCTCGTCTTACGCGATGTATTTTTTCCTTTCTCTTCTCGCCACTGCCGCCCTCGCTTCCGATTGGCTCCTACTAACGATGCCATAATGGTTCTCGGCTTCTATCACGTTCACTATGGCCACAGCGAAGGAGCGAGTCGCGAGAGAGAGAGAGAGAGCGAACCAGACAGGGCTGGCCATCTCGGCCAGGGACTTGTCACAAGTATATTTCAAAATTTTATTGTAATTTGATTAAAACTACATTTTAACATAAAGCTTCGTGCTCAAAACCATATTTAAAACGAACTAACAAAGTTTCATGTAAAGCCATTAATGAAAGACTACTACTGTGGGCAAAAAGTAAGGTGAATTTTCAATTTAAACTTCGCGAGCTTAACATTTCGGGCTAGTTCTTTTTTTCTTGAGTTGGTAGGACTGCGAATGACATCTGGGACAAATTTCATGTCAATGTCATCATCAGTAATATATTTACGCTTGTGTTTACCAAACGACCAAGAGTGCATGTTTCGATTTTTACAATGTCTGATTTAATTGAGCAAAGAAGTGCCATCAAATTTTGTTTGCGGAATGAAATTTCGGCTGCGGAAACGTTGAGGATGTTGCGGAAGGCCTTTGGTGATTCTACCATGTCGCAGAAAAATGTTTATAAGTGGTACAAAGACTTCAAAGAGGGTCGAGAACGTGTTGATGACTTGGAGCGCTCCGGACGACCATCGACGTCAACAGATGACCAACACGTCAATAAAGTGAAGGAATTAGTGCTCGAAAATCGTCGGTTGACTGTTAGAGACCTTACTGATATGATCGGAATATCAGAAGGATCTGTGAAAACAATTTTGAAAGACCATTTGGGCCTACGAAAAGTCAAATCTCGTTTGGTACCGAAAACGCTCAATTTCTTGCAAAAAAGTCGCCGCGTTGATGTGTGTGAAACAATGCTTTCTGACTATCAGGACAAGCTCAAATGCATGATTACGGGAGATGAGACTTGGATTTATGCTTACGACCCTGAAATAACCGACCAATCAAGCGAATATCGTGCTAAAGGCGAGGCCAGACCGAAAAGAGCACGTCAAAGTCGTTCAAAAATCAAGGTCATGATGACAGTTTTCTTCGATTTTCGTGGTGTGGTGCACTATGAATTCCTTCCACCCGGCCAAACTGTTAATAAGGAATATTATTTGAGCGTTATGCGTCGTTTGCGTGAAGCAATTCGTCTAAAAAGACCTCAATTATGGGCCAACAACTCTTGGTTTTTGCATCACGATAATGCACCATCTCACACTGCACTCGTTCTTCGTGACCATTTCGCCAAAAATTCGACGCATATCGTTCCGCAACCACCGTATTCGCCTGATTTGGCTCCGTGTGACTTCTGGCTATTCCCAAAACTCAAGAGACCACTCCGGGGAACGCGTTTCGAGTCGATTGAGGAGATAAGAGCTGAATCGAAGAAGGCGCTGATGGCTATACCGGAAAGGGACTATTTGGTATGTTTCGAGGATTGGAAAAAACGTTGGCATAAGTGTATTTTATCGGGAGGGGATTACTTCGAAGGGGATGACATTGATGTAGAAGAATAAATAAAGATTTTTCATTTTACAAACAAATTCACCTTACTTTTTGCCCACAGTAGTATATAAGACCAAATATATTCCTATTAAATTGTAATTTTGAGGAGAGCACAATAAGAATAAAGATCAGGATATCTTCCATCTAAGATTTTTTTATTGGCAACTGAAAATAAATACCGCTGGTTGATACAACAGTAGTTCATGAATTATTTTTAGATCCGACGATTGTATTGAATTTCAAATATAGCAACCTTATAATTCTTTAATTATGCTCGGACACTTAGAAATCTTATCTGAAGTACATATATATTATGTTGTATAATTATTATTTACAAAATAAATTTTTTTGCAAGAATTTCTAGAAAAATGCAGTTAAATAATAATGCTTCACATAATTAAATACATCAGGTTTAAAACGGAAGTAATATGAAAAAGTAAAACGTTTAGGACTTTTATTGATTTAATCATAAAATTAATATGTTATTATCAATTATTTAAAGAAATTCGATTCGTAATCCTACCTTAGGTACTGAAGTTATGTGAAGAAATTTATGTGCACGCAGTTCTTCTTGGCTTAAGCGCCATGTAACTCGTTCCATGTAACGAGTTACATTGGATTGTTGTAATAATTCTGAGGCTTCTCTAGCATAAAATTCACCACTTTGTTTCAAGAAAGGCCCTTCAAAAATGTCTTGATATAGCTAAAAAAATTTCCATTTTTTGTAAGATTATTTTTACGTTTTTCCTAAAATTTGAAATTATTTTATATGTGTATTTATATATATTTACAGTACGAGAAAAAAAATGTTTTTGCGTGCAAATAAAATGCTAACTCAGCATGATAAGTTGTTCAGAAATATATTTTTTTTTTTTTTTTTTTTTAATTTATTAAACGGGCATAAACCCATATCAAGATACATATAAATATAATAATAAAATATATAATATAAACAAAAAGAAGTATAAATAATTAATAAAACGACAATAGTGAGAAGAAAAAAATAAACGGAATAGCTATAAACTATATCCAAAAGTCGACAAAACAATATAATAGAAAAACAGTAAAATAAAAAATAAAAAAAAGTAACACAATAAAAGAAAAGAAAAAGAGAAAAACAAAATATAAAAAAGAATAATAACTAATAACTAATAAATAATAACTAATATAAAAAAAATAATAAAAGAATAATAAAAAAGAATAATAAAACAAAATAATAATAACAAAAATTAACATGTAGATAGGGAGAAGCAGCCAAGATAGGTGGGTAAAAGGGAAGAAATAGGTGAGGTGTCACGTGACAGAAGAAAAGACCAAAAAAAAAAAAATAAGACACTAGCGAAACACCGCAGTATTCGCACGAACAAGCCGTTTAAAAGCGCCCAAGCAAACTGAGTGAACATCCAGCGGAGTTGACAAATTATTAATAATGAGGCATGATCGATCAATAATTGATAAATGGTTAAGATTCCACCTACGTGAACGGATGAAAAAGGTATGATTACGGGCACGAAGAGTGCGTGCTGGGACAATATAGAGGATACGGTTAGAGAGTGAAATCGAATCGATGAAATTATGACATAATTTATAAATGAAAAAAGCAGACTGGTAATTAATGAAGGAAGTGACGGTACTAATATGAAATGAGTTTGCAATGGCAGAGTAGTCATGAGAGAAGGGATCCATACGTGGGCCAAATTTATTAGCTAAAAAACACAGAAAACGATGCTGAACAGTCTCTAGCAACTTGGATTGCTGGTCAAAACGTGGAACCCAAATAACTGACGCATACGTGAGACGAGAGCGAATGTTACCATTATAAAGTGCAATGAGGGAGGCTGGTCGCTTAAAGGCACGACATTGCCTAAACAGTAGAAAAAGTGACCGGGATGCCGTACAGCAGGACTGATTAATGTGAGCGGTGAACGATAAACTCCGATCGAACAATACACCCAGATCTTTAAACTCCGTCACCCTACCAATTGCAAGATCCATACAAAAATAGTCGAATATATAAGACGCTTTACATCGAGAAAATGGAAGGACTGCACATTTATCAGTATTTAACAAGAGCCCATTAACTGAGCACCAATCAGAAAACCTCAGCAGATCCAACTGTAACTCATCGGCATCATTCCTAGATGTAATAACTTTAAAAATTTTAGCGTCGTCAGCATAGAAAGAGATGCAGGAGGAACGGATAACGGAAAATGCATCATTTACAAAGGTAATGAAAAATAGTGGACCAAGGTGCGAGCCCTGCGGTACCCCAGAGGTAGCCAGATAAGATGAGGAGATGAATTTCAGGAGCTTAACGGAGTAGGTTCTATGTGATAGGTATGAAGAGCACCAGGATAGAAGAGGGCCATGAATACCATAGAACGACAACTTAGCAGCCAGAAGTTGATGATTAACACAATCAAACGCACTGGTAAGATCAGTGTAAATCGTATCAACCTGCCGATCGTCATCGAATGCGTCCGTAAGAAATTCAATGACCTCCGCAAGATTAGTAACCGTTGAACGGCGCGGAACAAAGCCATGCTGGGAGACATTAATGACACGAAGAAGGAAACGAGAAAGTCGTATGGACACCAGATGATCACACAGCTTAGAGAGCACGCTGAGCTTGGCAATTGGACGGTAATTACAAACATTTCTCCTGTCACTACGCTTCTTATACACCGGAATGATAAAAGCTTGTTTCCAAGCAGTAGGAAAGGTACCAGATCGTAAAGATAAATTCATAATATACATAATCGGTTGAGCTAAACAATTGGTACAATTTACAAAAAAAGTTGACGGGATTCCATCAGGTCCGGCCGCAGATGACGGTTTCAGGCCAACAAGGCCCTGAGTTACCTCTTCAATATCAAGAGAAATGTCCGACAGCGTATTAGAATCAAACGTTAGCCCCTTGAAACCATTAAATAGTGAAGTTGAAGAAAAAACCGAAGAAAATCGCTCCGCAAACAAGTTGACAATATCCGGGCCATCATGGGCATCAATACCATTATAATACATTCCATCAGGATAGCCAGAGCAACAATCCCTAGGGTTAGCAAACCTCCAGAACTCTCCAGGATCAGACTCCAACGACTCCTCAACATCACCAATAAATCGACTGTAGTCGCGCAACGTCAGACGCTTGCAAACTGTCCGGAAGCTCCTGAAGTCATGCAATGCCTGACCATCTCCCGAAGCCTTAAATATCCGGTGGGCCATCTTCTTCTGAGAAATCGCAGCTCTCAATTCGTATGTCATCCAACTCGGGAATCTAGCAGTGAAAGAGCCAGTAAGCGGAACGTTGCAGCTAATGATTTCGAATAATTTCCGGTAAAAACAATCAAGCGCCATGTCAACGTCCCACTCATGACCACCAAGGAGATCATTCCAATTTGTCGACGCCAGAGCAGCATTAATACTGCTATAATTTGCCTTTTTAAAGTTGAAGGAAGCAGAAGTATCAAATGGTAGAGAGCTCGGTGAAGCCACTGCAACACAGTTCAAATTAATAATGACAGGTTCGTGATGTCTGTCCGATGGTGCCAGAGGATCCAAAGCCGTGCAGAGAGACGCCGGAATATTACAAAATGCCAGATCAAGCGTGTTTCCAGAGCAATTTGTTGAACGAATCAACTGAGCGCACTTAAGAGAGCTCGTACAACTCTCCAATCTTGATGCCGAATCACGAATAGTCCTACTTGCTAGTGCATCAGATGAAAGCACACCATCAAAAGCCGACCACGTGCAGCGGGGAAGGTTGAAGTCACCCACAATGAGAACGGCACACTCAGGATATCTGGCAGCTGAATCCTCCAGAGAACAGCAAAAGGAATCCAAAGATGACTCGAATATCACCGGTGAGAGAGACGTAACTGGCGGCAGATAAGCAACGGAGAGAAGTAGCGGTGCTCCATAGTCAAGCTTCAGAGTCACATGCTCCAAATCATAATTGAGGGTATGTACTGTTACAAAGGAGCATGTGTTCTCAATCCAAACGAGGATACCACCTCCCCTAGATCTGCCACTCCGAACCTTACAGCGATCCAATCTCACGAGCGAGTAGCCGGGAATCCTCAGCATAGCATCATCCACCGTGTCATCCAACCAGGATTCAGTGAGGGCAATTATATTAAACTTTTGCGCACATGTTGATACATTATTAATAAAAGTAGTGATAGATGATTTAATGCTACCAACGTTCTGGTAGTAAATAGAAAGAAGATTGGGTATCTCGGCTGCACTTATATGTTTTTTGTTGAGGTGATGGAGGGTACGCCATTGAAAAATTTAATTTTGAGATCCTTCTCACCGGCCTGCATTCTAGAATTGATGTCGGCAATGGTCTCACGTAACAACTGCCGCTGAAAAGCGGATCGGTCCGGGCCACACTTCGCGTTCGGCACCGATTTAAGCAAATCCGGTGAGTGACGCAAGAACCACCGCACCTCAACAGCAGACCGAAGCATGAGTTTCAATGGACGAGTCCTGTCCTCAGCCCTCTTTACAAGGCGCAAAGTGGTGAGCAATGAAGCATCAATACTCGCCCCCACAAGTAGCGCCGACACCGCCGCTGTGTCCTCGGCCGACGAGACATGTTCAGGGAAATTGTATATAATACAATTACATTCCCTTCTCCGCTGCTCGTTCATCTCCGCGAGAGTAACCGTATCAATCTTTGTGGAGGACTCGCCGACACAACTTTCCACCCTTGCCAGCCTAACCTCGTGGTCGTCAACTCGAGTGGCCTGCTCCGAGATAGAATGGTTGACCGCCTGAAATTGTGAGGCAATGGAGCCAGTGACCACCGAAAGCTCATGCTGAATGACGCCCATCCTGGCATCCATAGCATCAGAGCGCGTGACAAGACCATCCGTCACGCGCTGAAGCTCGTCATGTCAGTTTGGCTGTCTTGTTCGCACAACTCCTGTGATAGAGTGATCGGCAACCCGGACACTGCACGGCATCACTAACGTTGATAGGGCCCTTAGACGGGCACGGAAAACATCTATTGTCAGACATAACTGACGCACCAAACAATAAGACTGTCAACTGTCACTCACAAAAGTCACAACAAAACAAGTCTACAACAGATTAAGTGGAAAAACAACACAAAATGCAGCACAACAACTGATTTAATTCAGCACGGTAATAACAAAACTCAAACAAGGATTGATTGGCTAAATCTTTAACTTTTCGAGTAGAGTGCAACACAAACACGTCTGTTCTCCTCAAGGATCAAATGCCGACTGATATTTAACTATTTTAACCTGCAAAAAACTATCTATGAATCGTAAGAAGTAAAAAGTCAACATTTTCAGTAGTTTTTGTAGCGTTATTTAGTTAGATTTAATAACAACATTTTTGGCATTACTGTATTCTATATAAAAAATATATCGACAAAGTATTCCACATATTTGAGTGTAATGCTTTGTTCAATTAATGAATTGAGCATTAAAAATAACCTTTTTTAATTGAAACGGTTAAATCAAATTTAATGTCCAATTTAAAACTAATTTCTTAAGTTTTCACAATAACTAACCTAATTAATGTGTAATCTGTTAAATTATGTTAATTAATATGTGAGGTTCAGTCACGAAGTATTACGTAAATCTTATTTATTTTATAATTTTGATTACACTTGTGATTTTTCTTTATCTCAATAGTAATCTGTTAATATTTAAAATAAATTAATTTTTG